GTAACGGTCGCCCCACGCCGTGATTAGCGTCGACGTGGCGTCCTCGCTCCAACAGTCATCCCGGCCACCGGTGGCGCGGGTCCGGGTCGGGCGATGCATGAACGGTTTCGGGTTCGGTGGTGGAGAAAGAGGGAAACAGCGGGATTTTTTGGTGTGGGTAATAATGATGGGTTGGGTGTCGATCGAAAGATGAGGAAAAAGATCGGACTGAGAAGGAAATGGAAATCTGGCCGTCCATTGTACCGGCGGTGACGTCAGCTCCTCTATCGGGGTTGGACGGACTACCATACCATTGACCGCTTTAATTTAACCATGTACGACGTTGTCGATGGTTTTAGCTCGGTTTCACTGTCAGCATTTGTTTAGTCTCCGGTTTACTGTGGAAAACGCCCGTTAACACTAATTAATTGAGAAAATAAATCATTTGATTAACACTAAATAATCTCATATTTCTCCTTCAATTTATCGTCCATATCTAAACCCCTGGATTTCATTTCGTCCAAGACCAGTTTTGCCTTGTCAAACCTCTTCAACTTGATGAGCCGATTCGCCAAGCTCCCGAAATTCTCCTTGTCCAGCCACGTGTCCCTCCCGCTAACGCTCCTCACAAACTTCACCGCCTGATCGTAAAAGCCCGCTCTCAGCAGCGAATCAATCACGTACATGTGTGTCGAAAGCTGCATCGGCACTCCATCGTCCACCATCCTCCTCAGCAGCACCAGAGCCCCCTCCACCTTCCCCGCCTTGCACGCGCCCAGCACCAGCGCGTCGTACGTACGCGTGTCTGCCCTCATCCCCTCCTCCTCAATCCTCTTCAGCACTGCAGCCGTCGGATCCAAATCTCCGGAGAAACAATACGCCATCAGTAGATAATTGTACGCTGTCAGATCCGGCGGAGCCCCAAGCCTCCTCATGAGATCCACCACGCCCCACGCTTCCTCCATCCTCTTCTTCTTGGTAACAACATTGAGTATGGGGTGAAAGCTACGCGCGTTGAGGCCGTAGTTTCCACGGGCCATCATTTCCACCAAGCGCAGCGCCTCGTCGACCCTCTCCAGCTTACAGAGCCGCGCGATGAGCGAGTCGTACGCGCTCTTTCGGGCGAAGCCATTGTCGAGACGAGCCAGAGTTCGACAGAGATCGTCGAGTACGGAGAGGGAGGCGTCGGTGCTGGTGATGAACTTGAAGGTGTTGGTGGTGTTGAAGCAGTGGTCCTTCACGCGCTTGTTGAGGAGGTGGCGGAGGCCGTCGAAGTCTCTGGAACGGCCAGCGGCATTGACCTGGTCATCGTAGTAGGCCGAGGTGGGGATGTCGGGGAAAGTGTTGAAATTGAGGCTTTGGGTTGGGAAGAAACGGGCGGCGACGGTTCGGATATATTGGGAATTTAGCGTTCTGTGGAAGAGTTTTCGGAGGAGTGCCATGGTTGGCTGGCTCTGATTCTGAGGGTTTAGGGTTTAAGGCTGCTGAACAGAAGCAGCAGAAGCTTCTAGTCTCAATCAAAACCCCCCCAATTGAGTAAAGGCTGAGGGTTTTGGTTTGAAAATCTTGGGCTTCATTGGGCTGGGCTATTTTCCATTTGTATAAAAAGAAAAAGGGATCTTCATGGGCCAAGTAACGCTGGTTGTAGATTGTATTTTGGGCCTTGAGCCCCCATTTCTCTAACCAAAAAAACCTCGTTTCTAGCAATGCAACGAACGAGACTATTTGACTCCAAGAAGTCATTCCTCCTCGCACACAAATTACAGTTCCATACATGTGTAAAAATTATTAAAAAAAATATTTATACGAACATCATCAAAAAAGTAATATATATAAAAATTCTTATGGTTGAAATTTGTTCACTGGTGATTGATCTGTGAATTTCAATTTTATTTAAACAATTTTCATACCAAAACAAAAGTCCTCCACCTCCAACATATGAACGAGGGCACCGACTTTCCGTGTCCCTCAAAACACTATTATGACTATAAGTTCAGCTATGGACAAATATTTTGCCGTCTATAATGCCGACTAATTTTTGAGGATGGCGACCCAACAACACACATTTCAAAGGTAACAAACAACTTGTTCAGTACATTATGGTCGTGACTCGTGTTCTTGGAGAGAGACTTTCTTGCCCCGATGTCAATGTCCTCCCGTCCCTATTTCCCTCCTCATCATGTGATAGGTGATATGACCACCGAGATATGGAATTTTTCCTTGTTATTGGGTTGCCCTTAATCGCAGGCTGATCAATCAAAACCAAAAATTTCTACATCACACCACGAACCCCTAAGAATCTCAGGATAAGCTAATTAAAATGGCCTTTAAGCAAGCTTGTCTTGGTCTGGCTTTTGTGAAAAGACGTGATGGATTATATCACAAACCAGCTGGACAAAAGGGAGACAGACGACAAGCCTGGCCGCCAGGGCCTATGAAAAAAAAGAATATTAAGATCAACGACATCAATGCATGCGTATGGAAAGCATGCATATCCATTGAAGCCAAAAGAAAAGAAGAAAAAAGAGTTAAGATTTTGATCTCTCTCTCTCTCTCTCTCTCTCTCTCTCTATCGTCGGCGTTCTTATCTGGGTCTAAGTTTGGCTTTCAACTTTATGCCTTTTTCCAACAGGGATGTATTCAGATATACCTCACCATCTTTGTTCCCGTAGGGACCTAGTTTGACCTAGTTTGCTGACTTCCCCTTTTCACTTTTACTATTCTTCTTGAGCCTCCTGGTATGTCTCACTGTCTTAAAAAGGAAAAGTTCAAACTACAGACTTGCTCAAGAACAGTTGAGAGTCGGCATATATAAAATCAGTATCCAACGAATGGTAGACTCGGATTTTTAAAACCCCAATTCTCATATATGTAAAAGCATCTAAGATTACTTAATTATTATTGCGTATAAATTGTTTTCCGGTGATTTTTTATAAGACTTTCCACAAATAGATTCTTCTAGCATGACTCACTCCTACACCTCCAGCATGCGTGTGGTCTACTTTTGCACCACCATAATAAATTGCACGTTAATACTGTAGCCCTTTACCCTTTAATGCTTTTATGTTTTCTTTCTAATTACATACAACCTACACCACCAAATTTATCAAATTTGCTTAGAAAACTAGCATTGTTGGCAACAAGACGACGATATTTGAAGTATGTTAAATTGCCGTTTAATCATGATTTGGGAGATTTGTCTTTCTTCCTGGTTCTTTCAATGATGATGCAGAGTTATGTTTTTTTTTTCTTTTGTCAACGGAGTTACGTTAGTTTCTGATGTATGACGAAATATGGGTTAATTATGATATGAAAAATTCATTAGGGCCTAATGGCTACATGTGCTCCCACGTCACCCAAAATATGTTGTCCAAGTGTTAGGCTTGAAATTCGTCACACGTTTGGGGGCGCGTTGAGAGTGTTTGTCCCACATTAAAAAGTTAAGGGACTTAGCGTAGGTTTATAAGGAGTTGGGCTACTCCCCCTTTCCCTCAAACTGCCAATTGGTTTTGGGGTGGAACCTCAACTTCCTTCATGGTATCAGAGCAAGGCTTCACGTGTTGGGCCTAATGGCTACATGTGCTCCCACGTCACCCAAAATATGTTGTCCAAGTGTTAGGCTTGAAATTCGTCACACGTTTGGGGGCGCGTTGAGAGTGTTTGTCCCACATTAAAAAGTTAAGGGACTTAGCCTAGGTTTATAAAGAGTTGAGCTACTCCCCCCTTACCCCAAATTGCCAATTGGTTTTGGGGTGGAACTTCAACTTCCTTCATGGTATCAGAGCAAGATTTCACATGTTGGGCCCAACGGCTACATGTGCTCCCACGTCATCCAATATATGTTGTCCACGTGTTAGGCTTGAAATTCGTCACACGTGTGGGGGCGTGTTGAGAGTGTTTGTCCCACATTGAAAAGTTAAAGGACTTAGTCTGGGTTTATAAAGAGTTGGACTACTCCCCCTACTGCCAATTGGTTTTGGGTGGAACTTTAACTTCCTTCATGCGTATCGTTGGGATTTTCGGATTGATTCAGAAATTTTGAAGCAATTATAGATTCTGTCAAGATTTATATTTACTTTAATGTTCTATTTTAGATATTTAGAATAAGTTATCAATCATGATATTATTTTCCTCATATGATTTTAATTCGGATTTTTTTATTTTTTTATTTTTTTTGGTTAGCTAAGTTTTAGGAATATTATGGAACTTAAGGTTTCCTACGGTGTAAGGATTTCTTTATTTTCTATTTAAGTCAACTCGTGACATTGTATTTAGATAATTCAATTTATTATCAATCAAATACCTTTAAGTTTTACTCAATTTTATGGTGAATTCCAACATTGTTACTTTAGAGTTGCCATTCTATCTCCCTATTATCCTATATCTCGTTGTGTCAGTTTCGAATCCTAATTTGGGGTTTTAATCAAAGCTTCATTCTAACCGACCCTCCCCAACCTTTTTAATTCTATTGTTCTTAGAATAATTTGTTTCCTTTTTAATTAGCATTAAAAAAAAAAAAAAAAGCATTCACAGTTCCAAGTACAATATAGCTTTTAATTTGTAATTTTTTGTTGTCAAAAAAAGAAAAAAGAAAAAGATAGTTATGAGCATGATGTTGTGGGGGTGCTTACTTACTCAAACAGCATTGTACATTATCTCAATGAACATTTGACCAAGAACAAACTAAACCCTTTGGTATGCATCACACTAATTACTGTCTAAATTTCTTAATACAAATATATATTAATTTAGATAAGTATATTTAACATATAAATATGATTTTTATTAATAATATTTTTTCTTTTTGTAGGAAACACATGAAGTGGAAGAAGCGCTCACTTCATTATTCCCCAAAAGACTCACAGATTTATATGAGTTCCTTGTAGTTCACAAGAATATTAGCGTCAGATCCTTCTAATTATCATTTATTTTTTATTTTTTCAGTTAGAGAGTATCAAAGCAGAATCTTGATGATCATCATCTATATCTGATCCTAGCTTAATGTGGAGGTGATTTTGTGCTCATTATAGTCATATTTCTTCAAACGAAGAACTATACCTACCACATTATTTCAAATCGAGGAATTGTGTTAATTAAAGAAGTAGCTGATCTAATTTTCATTCATTCTCTTCCACGTTCCCATTTCAAATAAATAAACATTGCCAATGAAAATATTCGCACCCTTCTCTCTCTATCATTCTCTCTCTCTCTCTGAGGAAACGCACGGACTCACAGAGCATCTTCCAAGAAGAAGTTGATAGGGCGGATCAAAGTCTTGATTTGACCATGGCATCTCTCTGGTAAATGGTAATGTCATGTGATCATATCGAGCACTTGGATCCATATGACTTCTTCCACATACATCAATGACTTCCTTGTATTGTAGTTGTTGTTGTAGATACCCCCAGCTACCTAACAATTTTACAGCTGACCCGACACCGCAAATCTTTTCCTTTTTGTTTTCTTACCATCGGATAAATTTGTCTCAGTATGAGCTGCAACGTACACGCTGTTGAAATGAATATGTGTCGTCTTAATCAAAATCTATACCATGTGTTTTGTTTCTACGTGCTTGCTATTACTTATGTAATTTCAACCATTTATATATACTTTTATGAAATACGTTTAGCTAATACTTTTGAATCATAATTCAAACAATTATGGGTTTCATTTCATGCCAACAAGTTTTTATAAACCTATCCATATCCCTTCTTTTCTTTTTTGTAGGCAAGATCTCACGCCCGCATATAAAATTATAATAGATAGATTTAGTGCCCTTATGATTCTTCAAGGGTCACACAGAACATGGTGAGCGACGGGACTAATTTTGATGTTTAATTATATTAAGGGTTTTTTTTTTTCGAGGACTTTTCCTATTAAGAGAGTCTGTATTATTCTCAAGTCTCAAACCACTACAGTAGTAGATTCTTTCGCTTTTTTGTTGTTGTTTAAAGTCAAAGGATTTGGAGACACATTTATATATGTATAGGACATCAAAATGAATAAAGTCAAAGGGCCGGCCTCCAACAATAATACAACTCTTAAACAATGAGCATGGCAATCACATTATTTGAGACTTGGGAATAATATTGCATGCCTTGGTTGGACAAAGATGAAATGGACCACATGGCTAGAGGGATTTCCAAGATTTTCTAATGAGATAGGGTTTGCTAAAGAAATCGGGAAACAGATATTAAGGATTTGTTTAAACATCCAGATCCGACCATCCCATCTGTTTATAAGCAAACTTGAAGATATGGAATCCAAATAATTAATATAACAGGCGTACGTTACCTCTCCTTAGTCCCCTAGACTATGAACTTCTAATTTTTATATACATGACTTTTCATGGACGTCTCAAGCCACCTAATCATGTATATGTACCCAGTAACGTAACATTGCCCAAATTAATTACTTTATTGGTGTAATGTTAAGTCATGCATGTTTGATCGCACCTTAAGTGGAATTGGAGTGAAACAAGGAGAAGTAGTCAAGAAGGTTTAGGAATTAAGTCCAATTCTTATTATAAAGACAATAATTAACACAAAATTTCTATGGCAACTTCACTTTAACTTTATCGTATTAGTATTTTTCTTCTCAATATTGAAAGATATTTCCGACATCGAATCTCTTCTCGGCGGTTAATTAAGAAAAAAGATGGAGAATAAAATTAGGACGAGACAGCTTCACAATTAAAAACCTAGTGCATAGAAGGGAATAAAAACTATGACATCCATGCAAGATGCA